CAGCACAACGGGATGTAGTGGTAAACAGAGCACATTGCCTTCACTTCCTGCTTATTTATTATACTTTGGAGCCTCATTGGCCTGAGCCACTTCCTCAGGTGATTATCTGAAATCTGTACCTCCTGGCCAAACCATGATCTCTTCCAAGATTCATGGGCAGTGAAGGCTCTCATTTGAGTCCACTGCTTTATCAATGCTACCCACCTATTCCACCTTGCCTCAGCTTTCATGAGGTGTAAACGGGACCCATCTGTGAGGGACCTGCCCTAAGGACTCACACTTGTGGGAAGTGGTGTCCAAACACCATTGTAACCCCTCGAACAAAGCCTCATTTGCATCCCAAAAGGCCCACCTGAGAGGATGGACACAATGATGGTGGCTGCATATGGCCTAAGGTCTGAATATGAAACGATTGATATGGAGGAGTGGAGGGAGGGGGAGGTTCACTCTAGATGCTCAATGATGAAATATCTATCTCATCATTGCAGAACTATTGTTAAAGTGAAACAGGCCTATAAAAGAAAGAGTTGTGATGGTGGGCTCCAATTGGGAGCCTCATTGACACCAACCCTCCCCTGCTGGCTGGCTGAATGCAGGATCCAGGACTAGAGATTTTCTATTGTGTTTCTCTAAAATTTTCTTCTCCTATTTTCTCTCTTTGTCTCTTTTCCTTCCTAAACTCATTAAGTAATGCAAGGCCTAAACACAACTTCTCCTCAGGTCATGCAGCTTGACCATATCTTTGTTGTGACTTTGGTGATCTAAATAATCGGCCTTTATGATTGCACAGCATGAGATAATAACTGAAGTATCCATATTCCTTCTATAGTTTTAATTGAACCTAATATTCAAATACAGTCCTTGAGTGTCATTTCACCTGAATCAGATCAAAGGGTATCAGATAGTCAAGCATTTCCTCAGACTATGACATTTTAATCCCTCTCCCTGAAGGACCAGGTCTGAGACTAAAGTTGGTTCCAGCTGCACCAAAGGGGGTCCAATCTGAATTTCCCTGAGTTGCCCCACCTGGGTTGTGACACCACTCTATGGACACTCAGTGCCTACAGGCACCTTGGACCCTAGATACCCCCAGCTCTAGAATCCAACCTTCAGTCTCCTGTGTGTTTTCTACCAGAGGCTCCAAGTGAGGCCATGCTCACCAGCAACAATGCAGAGCATGTTTCTCCCAGCTGGTCCTGTCTGGATAGGCCCAAGGGCTAACAAACCACGTCTTTTCTGTCCTGCTGCTGTTTAAGAACCCAGAATGTGCAGCTTCCAGAAATCCATCTCTTGGAAAGCTTGTCTTTCTTTTTTGTTAGCTGGTGAAAACGTGACTGTTACTGGTTGCATCCATGGGGATGTGACAATGCTGATCTTGCTATTACAAGAAGATTAGAAATATCTATCGTGAAGGAAGAGAAAGGTCTCCAGAAGATGGTTCCCATCATACTGTGACAACAGTACAGGGGCCAAATGACAGACCTGGCTCAAGGCCAGTGCTTTTATCCCAAGCAAATCAAACAGAGTGATAAGCAGGACAGCAAACACCAAAAGCTGAAAGCAGCCATCAAGAAGCCTAGGAGTTCAATGTGCAGCAAGAAAGGGGGCAAATGAATCAGCAACTAGTAGTTAAACAGCTGTAAATCACAGAATCACAGAATATTAGGGGTTGGAAAGGACCTCCGAAGATCATAGAGATCAACCCCCCTGTCAGAGCAAGACCAAAAAAATCCTAGAACAACTAGGGCAGGTCACTCAGAAAGGCATCCAGATAGGTCTTGAAACTCTCCAGAGGAGACTCCACAACCTCTCTGGGCAGCCTGTTATAGCGCTCTGTAACCCTCACGTTAAAGAAGTTCTTCTTCATGTTGAGGTGGAACTTCCTGTGCTCTAGTTTGAGTCCATTGCCCCTCAATCCTGTCACAGGGCATAAATGAAAAGGGCTTGTCCCTGCCTTCTTCATGCCCAGCCCTCATGTATTTATAGACATTAATTAGATTCCCCCTCAGTCTTCTCCTCTCCAGACTGAAAAGCCCCAGGTTTCTTAGTCTTTCCTCATAAAGCAGGTGTTCCAGTCCCTTAACCATCCTCGTAGCCTTTGTTGGACTCTCTAGTAGATCCCTGTCCCTCTTGAACTGGGGAGCCCAGAACTGGACAAATACTCCAAGGGAGGTCTCACCAGGGTCAAGAGGGAGGAGAACCTCCCTCGATCTGCTGGAGACACTCCTCTTAATGCACCCCAAGATACCACTGGCATTCTTGGCCACAAGGGCACATTGTTGTCCCATGGATAACTTGTTGTCTAGCAGGATTCCAAGGTCCTTCTCCACAGAGCTGCTCTCTAGCAGATCACCTCCTAGCCTGTACTGGTGTGTTTTGTTATTCCTTCCCAGGTGCAGGACTCTACACTTGCTCTTGTTGAATCTCATTAGGTTCCTCTTTGCCCAGATGGCCAGCCTGTCCAAATCTCACTGAATGGCTGCACAGCCTTCAGGCGAATCAGCCAATCCTTCCAGATTTGTGTCATCAGCAAACTTGCTGAGAAGACACTCTGTCCCATCATCAAGGTCATTGATAAAGACGTTGAACAGTAGTGGACCCAGCACTGAACCCTGAGGGACTCCACTAGTTACAGGTCTCCAGCTGGAGACTCTGCACCATTGACCACCACTCTCTGGGCTCTGTTGTGTAGCCAGTTCTTAATCCACCTGCCTATCCATTCTTTAATCCTACCTATTGCTCTATATATATATATCTATATACATATGTATATACACTTGCTCACAAGGATGTTATGCGAGACCGTGTCAAAAGCCTTGCAAAGGTCAAGGTAGACTACGTCCATTGGTCTCCCTGCATCTATCCATTCAGTCACAACATCACAGAAGGCTATTAAATTAGTCAAGCATGATTTCCCCTTGGCAAATCCATGCTGACTGCTCCTGATAACCTTCTTCTCTTCCATGGGCTTAGAGATGACCTCCAAAATGAGCCACTACCTCATTTTTCCAGGAATGGAGGTGTGAAGTCCTGTGCTGGGTGCCAAAAGGGCCAGCAGTGGGCTGGACCCACCACCAGCCAAGCACCCATCCAGCCACTCACTCACCCCCTGCTCCCAGTGGGACAGGAGAGAGATTAGGAAGAAAAGTCAGAAAACTTGGGGATGGAGATGCAGGTGGTTTCACGAGTGAAGAATGATAGAACGGCAGGGGTTGGAAAGGACTTCTGGAGACCATCAAGCCCAGTCCCCCTGCCTGAGCAGGGCCACCTAAGGCAGCTCACACAGAAACGCATCCAGATGGGTCTGAAGCGTCTCCGGAGAAGGAGACTCCACCACCTCTCCGGGCAGCCTGTCCCAGGGCTCCGTCACCCTCACAAGAAGTTTCTCCTCCCGCTAAGCCGGAACTCGCTGTGCTCCAGCCTGTGACCACAGCCCCGCGCCCCATCACCAGACACAGCGCCGGGCCCCTCCTCCTTGTCCCCCACCCCTCAGGTACTTCTGAGCGCTGTTAAAGATGCCTCCCCAGCCACCTCCTCCCCAGACCGAACAGCGCCAGGCCTCACAGCGGCGGCGGGACGGCCCGTGAGGCTGCACCAGCCCCGCAGCGCTGCTCTTGTTGTCCCCGCGCGTCCCGCCCCGCGCACGCGCAGCCCCCGCACTTTGTTCCCCCCCTTCGCGTCACGCGCCG